ACGGCCGGAGCGCTCCCCGTTCATGTCCTTGTTCTGGGGAGCGGCCTCTTCCGTCCAGCTCCGGTGAACAGGGCAGCTGGAGCCGGGGCGTGCAACAGGCTGCCGTGGCTGGGCGGGGCCCGACGCCGTAATGTAAAATGGAGACTTCGCTGCAAGGCACACCAAGTGCATTTAACTTGTGCATTTTCAGGCTGAGACTGGGTCCTGACAACTTAGAGAAACTCTGGGCCCGCTGCAAGTACAGGGTATCAGTGAAGATGCTGCGTTCTGAAACTTTGAGCGCTCTTTTTTATGAGTTCAGAGTTACAGCAAAGAAAAGGAAGACAAAGAATTTTTTCACTGTTCTGTTTTTAGATAGGTGCAGCCTACCAAAAAACTGATATGCTGTCTCATATGGGTGGCTTTCCAAGGGAAGATAAAATGCCGGTTCAGTCAAGTAGAGCTTCTTACACTATAGGCTGCATTTTTAAACTATTTATGCTAGAACAAAGATCTCTCCAAGGTGTTGCTCATCTTTCACCCTTCAGACTTAGAAGTTTAACATGAAAATTTTCCAAATTAACTTTATTCTAATATTGCACAACTTCTTGTCTTTAAGAAACCAAAAAATTACGATTAAGCTGTTGTGTAAAATCTACGAAAGCTGTATTGCAGAATCATGTAGCAGTATTATTTATACTTTTTGATGTAGTTACATCCTCAGTAAAGAGTGTTCAGTGAATTCTAATGCCAGCTTTTATTATGACCAGGTTTCTCAGGCTGCAGCAGACTTGAAGCAGTTCTGCCTGCAGAATGCACAACATGATCCCCTACTGACAGGAGTATCATCAAGTACAAATCCATTCAGACCGCAGAAAGTTTGTTCATTTTTGTAATTGCGTGAACTACTTTGGTATCTTTCAGTGGTAAGTCCTTGAATTACAATTCAAAAACTCTTCTGTCATTAAAAATAGCTGGCTTTAAATGACAGTGCCTGTATTACAAGTATTCAGAAGAGACATGACTTCTGCAGCTGATGTTGGTCTAGATCCCCATTGTGGGTCCCTTCTCCCCTACTCTGGTGGTAGCTCTATACTGAACACATGCTGTTCATAACTATTATGACTGGGATGTAGCTGTTGCAGAGCTTCAACCAGTTTCCGCTCCTGCAGCAAAGTAGTCGTGGGGCTAGCTACTACTGAGCTGCTGTCTGGATTAACCTTGCTGTATTGTGATTCTGATGTATATTGCTTCTGTGTACGGGTATTATTTCCATTTTCTCACATAGGGATTACTTGCCTGACAACATATGTGGTGAATCCTGATTGTGGCAGATATTTGTTCTTAAACTTTTAAAGAGCACTTATAAAGATAGGTTATTGGTGGTCTCAAAGAAGAGCACTGTCCCCTCTAGGACACACCTTCTAAGCCAAAAGGAGAAAGTACATAGTCCAAGAATCGTATCAAGGCCTGTACTCCACTCAAATAAGCTACTGTGTGGGTAGCAGTTTAAATAACTAGAGACAGTTGAATACCCATTTGGATTTTCATTCCAAAACTTTTATAGGTTCAGTAGCACTACTGGCATCACTGTGAAGAGTATTCATCTGGTATTCCTTGAAAATTCTTGTGATTAGATTTTAGACTAACCTATTTAGAAAGGGGAGTTTTAGATCCACAGTAGTCTCACCAAGGCTCTTGAGTCACAATAATTTGATACTTTGCACACAGTAAATGCATGATAACTCTACCGTGTCCCTCTTCCCCGTTGCCCCTTGACTTGGATGTGTTGGGGGCGAGAGCATATAGATTATTTCACAGTTAATCATAGTTCACAATCTTTAGAAGTCTCAGAGCAAATATTAACCTTGAAGAATTCTGGTTTTGTAGCTCATTTACATCACCCAAAGAATTGTACTTTGCTAGATTCAAGTTGCGTTATTTAGGCAGCTCTGTAGAAAGGTGACCACAGTCAGACTGAGTTGTTAAAATTGTTCTTTAAAATTGCTCTCCCCTCAAGCAGATTGTAGAAAGCTTCCAAAAAGTTTGTATGTAAACAAGGTAGTTCATGCCATAAGGACCAGAGTAGTAACACTATCGAGGTTGATGCTTAACTATTTAACAAACAAAAAAAAAAAACTTCTCCCATTGTTTTGAGCAATGAATTACAGCAGTGTAACTGAAATGTGCTTTAGAGTTCTTGTAGCTTTTAAAATTATTTTTATTGTGAATTTTATCAACTATTTTTACTTTAAAGATAACCTATAAAAAGCCAAATAAACTGTACTTTAATCAGTGACACAGACAGCTCCCCACTGAGCTTTGCCAAGTTCTACTAATTCCTGGGTCTGGATGTCAGGAAATAATGTTCCCTCTGTCTCACACACGTGTGCATACACAGAGCATAAAAGGCTTAATAGTTTCTTTCTCAGTTACAGCCCTTATCTTCCCAGAGCACTTTTTTCTGCTCATCTTACAGGCAAAAGTCATTAGAACAGTAGTGCACCACCTTTGCAGAGCAAAGAGGAAGTGTAATTTGTTAGTCACACAGACTGCCCCTGCTTTTCAAAGGCAAACTAGATGCCTGGTATTTCTGTAGGCATGAAGTGACTGGGAACAACTTATTCTGTCCTTCCACTTGCCCGTTTGGCTTCCAGGAGACACTAAGCCTCAGTTCTTTTGTAACAGCTTTGATTATCTTCTTGTACTCTTTTGGATAGCTTCATGGTTTTAAAAGTTTGTTATAAACTAAAACAGCTGTGGAAAAAGAGGATTTTTTTTTTCTAAAATAATAGCTGTCCATGGCATACTCTGAAGGTACATATTCTTAGACATAGAGTTGCTTCATTTAGTATTGATACTTCTCTAACTACAGTTTCTTTTTGTTTTTCAGATCTTTTAGCATCTTTTCCTAGCTGCTGATGTGTGCAGGGGCAAAATGCCTCAAGGAGTGGCCTGGTTTGAAGTCTGTACAAAAGCTTAGCTTTAATGTGCCAAATCTAACTGTAAAATTGCTACTGTCGTCAGACCTCTTACCATCTACCTCTCCAAATGAACTGTATGCTCGTTACAATACTTCTGTTTCATAAGGGAATCAGTTTTATATGCCAAGCAAAAAATAAAGTGTCTTGACTTAGTCTGGCCTTGAAATTACTGTAACAAGTTGATTAACTACCCATCAGTGTTTATTTCAAAGAATATCAACTGCTTTGGGTATATACCTCTTCTAAATACAATGTTTACAGAAGAGATACCTGTAGGAATCAAGCATATTGTTTTTTAACTTCAGCAACATGGCTATTTTATGCAAGATGTTAATGAAATAAAATACCACGGACTTCCTGGATTGCATACAGACTTCTCAATGTTCTCTAGATAGGCAACACTATCACCGTATTGTCAGGGAACAGCATACTGTAAGTTAGAAAGAGGTTTAAAATATTTATCTCTTACCTGGTTACTGGAAAACATCTGAGTTTATCTGCTTAACACAAAAAAAGCTTTTAAAAATAATTTTTTTTAGAAAAAAAAGACTTTATTTCGAGAATATCTTTAATCAAAGTATTTACTGTCTTTGATGGTGGAAAGTGTAATTTATGTCTACAGGACAGCTGCAGTCATGGCAAATCTTCAGTGACCGCTAAATTACAGGCTACTCTGACATTGCCATAGTTTTTCCCGCCAAACTGGAAAGAGTCACTGTCTTTGTCATGTTGTATTTAGCTGCAGACATAGAAAGAAAGATGTGTCTTACTCCATCTGCTCCTGTAGAAAGTTTTAATGTTTGCAGTTTTGTCTTCTGCAGACAGATACTGTTCAGTATCATCACTACTTAGGAGTCTGAGATGATCCATAATTCAAAGCAGTTGTATTTCTGGTCACCAGCAACTGGCAGATAGCTGTCCCTTATAAGTGAAATTTTCTTCTACTTGTGTCCATTTCTCGGCGCTGAAATTTAAAAGAGAAGTTATTAACCAGCAAATTAATGCAACAGGATACAAACAAGGATGACCAAAGGATGACCACTCCAGTTTGTAGTGGCGTAGGCAGTGAGGATGTGTCACAGTTACAGTGTAGTTGAGTCTTTATACAAGGGAGAAGAACTAGAGATTAGTGACTTAGTACTAAAGAACATGTAGCAATTCTCTGTCTACTGACAGCAGACAGTGTCTTTAAAACAAACAAGAGATCCGTTACATGAGCTACACCAGGAGTATTAGAATTTTCCTTCCAGAATAGCTTGGGTACTAACGTCTAAGTTTTGCCAATCAACTGCAATTCCATCGTAAAAATTACTGGAAAAGTAATTTATCATTGCCTAGAGTAATACTTCCATTTCACTTGAAGATGTGCAGAGGTCAGTGTTACTTTCCATTCACTATTAGAAAGTGACATTTATGTAAATAGCTTAATCATTTTTACATTATAATTCTTACAGTCACCTTGCACAAAGGATAGCTCTAGTCAAGTTTACTAGGCTTCCAATAGCAGCTTATACCAGGGGAGCATTTTTCACATCTGCTTTTATCTGTATATGCTAAAGAAATTACATTCTGCAAATAAGTAGTCATGGTATACTGATATTTGTCATCCTTGCCATTTTTATGCTTGACTTGCAATATAGCAGAATGCTTCTACTTTGCATATTTCTCAAAATATACCTTTAGCTATTTCAGTTAAATGCTTCCATATTGACAACTGTATTTATACCACTTTTCTAGGCTAAGATTTGTGGTTACATTTCATGCCAGATTTAGTCTCCCTTCCCAGGCAGGACTACTGTCATTACTTAGACATACCTTATGAATCCATTCATACTCTCCAAATTTGGAATCAAAGGTTCCTTTTTGAAGAGACCTCAGCTTTAGTGTAAAACGTGGCCCAAGTTCTTGAATTCCCACTTTCTTTTCACTCTTAAAGATATACCTTTGGGAGGAAATAATAATAAAAATTAGGAGGTAAGTTACAAGAACATTCTCTCATTTATGAGTTTTGTGGAAAATGTCACCTGTGGAATCTGAAAAAGATGTAGTCTCGCTGGTTGTGAAATGTAGCTACTTGTCTTCCAATGAACTGAGGATCATGTGGGAAGAGGGAAGCAAACATGCGACCAATAGAATGTCCAAGCCGTGTTGTAAAATTATTCAGGATTACTTCAGGTACATGTTCTGTGGGCTCCTTCCCTTTTCGCTGAAATGAAAGTAATAGATAAGAATGCAAAGGACAGATGGAATGCAAAAGGATTTTAATACATTCTCAAAGAAGAGTTTGAAATAAAATAGGGGGAATACAGCCAGGGCCAGCTTCTTCTAACAGGGCTGATAACATGCCCTAATCATTTTTTCAAACACAACCTAAGTGCGTATACAGGTAAAGGAGTAGCTGGTAATGTAAGGATCTTTGGTTCAACAATATAAATTGAATAAAAAAGCACAAATAATTTTACATTTCCTCTCTCCTGCACCAATTTCCAATCCTGGCAGCACCTGTTATAGCAAACAATACAGGCCACCTATCACAGGAGTCTTCTCTCCCTGTACTAAGACCAACTAAGAGTATATGGGATTAAGAGTAAATGGGATTCTTCTTATTTCAAAAAAGAAAAAAATTACTGTGAATTCTTTAGGGCTAAGTAAGCAATACTTACTACAGAATAGGTGACAGGGCTGTAAGAATAAGTAAAATTAGGTTTTATTCAAGACTAGGAACATCTATTGAAATCTGTTAAACTGCTGATTTTTAGATGCCCTATATTGTGTGTATACTATACATGGGGTATTCTCCATTTACCTAGGTTATCAGCTGCTATTTATTGTCATGACTATTTTGCAGACAGTTAAAGAAATTCAGCAAATAACTATGAAAATGGAAATATGCTGCTTCATGGAAGTAGAATATACTAGTCCTTGGTGTCCTGCTAGCTTGTGAAAAAACACCTTTACAAGATCAGCTGAATCAATCATACAAAGTGCAACCAGTTTTGACAGTTCAAGCAGACTGAACGTATTTATCATTAAACAACAGACTACCCAGTTCTTTAAATTTTCTGAGTCTCACCTTTATTTCTTTACGCAAACGAACACTACTCATTCTAAAATGAGCAGTTGGACCATCAGGTAGGTGACTTAAAACAAGACCATCTGTTCACAGAGTTAAAAAAAAAGGCTGGTAATATTGAACATGTAATTTACAGAGGAACATTTTCTGCAAAATGCAATGTTACATTAGAATATTATATCCATCATCTACGACCAATGTATGAGGTTTCATCATATTTTCAAACATATCCATAAACTAGTTAGTGTTCTGAAGTATGCCCATTAAATTTTGCTTCAATAGCTAACCAGAGTTATCTTCTATTGCTTTCTCGCTTACTAATTAGTAATATTTTATCTAGTCAGAAAAACTTGCTAATTAATCAAACTGTTAAATTTACTGAACTAACAACGTTCATCCATGCATTAAAACTAAAAAAAAACCCCAAAACCACCAAACCACCACCCATACCCTTGTTTAATATTTCCAAGCTCCATTAGCCGTCAGATATTTAAGTTGGCACAATGATTTTTAACTCTCTAGTTACACTGTAAGCTGCACAGATCCAGAATAAAGTATATCTCTGATGCACACTACAGAATTGTTTTCTTTACCTAATATGCCCAGAGCTAGTATGTCTATTTTAATAAATACACAAAAGGATACTTGGTATTTTGCGATCTTCATTAATGACGATTAAATCTGTGAAGTCCCTTGCAATACACTGCGGAATAATTCTTTTCAAAGCCAGTCCTCTTCGATAGTAGACATGTGAGTTAGGTATAACAGTAGACAGCTGCTCACAGAATCTCACTGTTCTCTGCAAAACAGGTGAGTTAAATTCCAACGTGGTAAATACAGTGCCAAATTCAAATATTAGGGGAATGGAGGGTTGCTCGTTCCAACTGCCCTCCCTGATGATGTATTTCTTCCAGTATATCTATAAACATTTGAAGACAGGCTATTAAATTACTTCATTCAGTCAGTGAGAAAAAAAAATATTTGCAGTAAAGACTGCAGCACACCAGGGACTTTTAAAAGATGTTTTTTCTTCCCTCAATCATAGAAAAACAGGAAAATTCCAAAAAGCATATGCTCCAAACTCATTACGAACAAAAAGTTCGTAACATTTCAAAATACAATATAACTATTACTTCAGGTACTAATGTCTGAATTTCTAGATAAACTGTTTGAGGTGTACTTTTTCCTATTTTTAAAACCACTTGTTTTGTGGTTTGCACAAATATCAGTAATCTCCCCAATTAGGTAATGCAAATCATTTGCATATAAGAACATATACATGAGGCTGGGTTTTTTTATGAAGGAAACAGTGCTACAGAAACTAATAGATTACATACATATACAAAGTTATTGAGTGTCACTAACTAAAACAGCAGAAAAAAATCCCTGTGAAAGCTATTCTTTTCAGCGTTAATTTACCAATCGCAGTATGAAAACCTTGGTGTCTTATAACCAGTTGATTGCTCAGAACTCTCCCAAATAAAACATACATACCCCACGAGGTCTGTCTGATGTTGTAATAAGAATCTTGGGAACTGTCTGTCTGTTGAAGTATGGTGCAAATTCATCAGTTGCTTCATCAAAAGCAACCTGGAAGAACAGAAGACTTGTTAATCCACCATAATTGAAGAACAATTGTTCAATCTGATCTAAATTCTGATAAAATTGAATTCAGTAGGAAAAATTTCTGTTCACAAGATCTATAATCAATCATCACAAAGCATGTGGTTTTTACATCTTTAAGAATCTAGTGTGATCAACATCACTGGCAGGTTTTACTATCAGTAACAGTAATGCAAAAGGCAATTATCTGATGTAGATAATGAAAGAATGATACCACCTCTTAGTGAACCAGTCACATAGAAAAAGTAATTAATCAACACCTTAATAGGAGAGTGGTGAATGCTAAGTTTCCTCAATCCATTTTATGTCCCTTCTTGGAAATAAAAAAAACGGTCAACTTAATAGTACATGCAGAAATTAAGCAGTTACCTCTTCATCATTGGGATCTACAGTTGTTTCGTCGTACACTCTCTGATTTTCAATAGTCTTTGGTATGGCTTTTGGAGGTGCCTAAAATAAATATGTTTCTTAACATAACACATTCATGCAATTTTTAAGTATATTGCAAAAAACACATTCATACTACCATGATATTGTGTATATTTCTGCACAGAATTAGAAGCATTCTTTTTTAAAAGCTGGCATAAAAAGTTACAACATCACCTTGATCAAAAATATGCATGGGTACTGGGACACCAGAGCGTATTACGTGGAGGAGACGCATCTCTGGAACAGGGACACTGCTTCATTTCAGTCTAATTAAGAAATGGGGTTCCAAAGCAAAAAAAAAAAAAAAAAAAAAAAAAAAAAAAAAAAAGAAAGGAGGGGGGCTACTTTCTATCCACTTTTCTTCTCTTCCATGGAAAAAAAAGCTCTTCTTTCAACAGCAACATATTTTAGCCTTGACATCTACAACTTAACACTAACAGCCTATAATGTTTACCCTGTTTAGTTACACTGCTCTTGTGCGATTATGAAAATACAGAAACTCACAACTGACTGTCCTCAGCTGTCGATAGGCTTTCGAAGTAGTTCAGGACAAGGAGCAAAACCCTTTGTTCGTGGCTAGGTTTGGACACAAGCAGGCAACTGCTCCGGGCAGGCTTCGGTCAGACCTGACTGTTCTTGAAGTAGTTCAGGACAAGGAGCAAGACCCTTGTTCGTGGCTAGGCTTGGACACAAGCAGGCAACTGCTCTGGGCAGGCTTCGGTCAGACCTGACTGTTCTAATTTATACAGAAATTACTCATTAGAGTGTAATTCCTAACAGCATCAACACAACCCACGGCAGTCACACCGGACCGAGAAGCCTTTTCAGGCAGGGC